TTTTAAGTCCAATTAACCTTTGAAAAGAGTGGGCACATTTTTTGGAACACCCTGTATATAATGAAATTTCAATCTGGGGCGGAGTTTGTGCAAGAAAAAGAGTAATTTTACTAACAATTATGCTACGATATATTTCATTTATACCTAAGATGCGTTTGGTGAAGGAAACAACTAATTCTTTCTGGTTAATTTCAGAGATACAGTATTTTAAAACTTTTAACATGACTTCACATCAATAAATTTTACGATAAGACCATTTTGAGAAGAAATCCCCTTTAAGATGAGCACTCCACAAAGAGTGCAAGCGGAATACTTGATTTTGATCGATAGTGGACTAATGGTATAACTTTAAACCTGATAAGTACACTGAAAAGTCTGAACTAGGATATGTATCTTAGCGGCCTGAACTTCTTGATTAAAAAATGGGTAAACGGCAACTAGAATTGAATTTGAAATCAATACGGCTTCTTTACCAAAATAATAAGTATTTCCTTCGTGAAAGAATTCTGATATTCTCATGCATATTCTTCTATTTTCGAGCTAAATACTGTAATTTATCAGCATGAAAAAGACCATTTTATGGATCTTCAAATCAAATCGACAATTTCCAAAGTTGTACAGCTGTGTGTAATTGTTATCATTTGGCTTCGTCTGCATACTAGGAATCAAAGGTTCACATTTAAGAAGTTGAAAACTCTTTAAAAAAGACACCTAGGTGTCAGCACTATTAAGGCCAAGGACGCAGCAACTCAAAAACGGAAAATTCCCGAATCGGAAAACGGTTTTTTAGCAAAACTTTGGATGTTTGCACATATCTCAATTAAATGACACAGCGTGGTCCTTCTCATATAACCACATGTCTCTTTTTGTCACGTTTTTTATGAATAAAAAGTGCATAACGTCTAAGAGAGGACACGGTTTTCGGCGAATTACGCTACATGCGAATAAATACACGCTCAGCCGTAGAAATTTTAGTTCCTCTTCGACGACGCTACAATAACAGGTGAAATGGCATTTTTACTCCCTAAATTGTTTATTTTCAATAATTCTTTCAGTATGAAAACATTACTCGCTATTCTTCTACTCGCTATTCTGGCTCTCTCCGCCGCTTTCGACTGCGATGATGATTGCCCTTTTGATGACGACCACGACTTCGGCTACAGACCATACAGATATGGATGGGGAGGGTACGGACGATATGGTGGATGGGGAGGGTACGGCCGATACGGTGGATGGGGCGGCCATTTCGGCCCTTGGGGAGGCTACGGTCGATTCGGATGGCCTTAAGAACTTTGCGACGCATGGATCCTGATTGACTATAAATTCTTCACTTATTATCATACGGAAATTTTGTTCTAGATATCACATCATCAACCTTTAAAATGCACTTATTCTTCTTTCACTGCTGAACTTTCTTCAACTCCTTAAATTCATTGCTGAACAGAATATTCACTCTTTCATATAGACATTCTTTTTGAGTAGCAATCAAGCTGTCTCTTTGCTGAATAATCATTGTATACAATACTACAATGAAACAGTTCCTTCAGGCAGGTTGTTATACAAATACTTATGTAACTGTCACAAAAAGATTTAATTCATTCTCTTTAGCAATTCGGTAGGGTGAATTTGCAGAACAATTAGATCTACACCCTTGAGAATAGCTTTCAAATTTCATGCGAATTTCGCTAAGAAAATAAGAATGGGAGAATGTTCTCTGTAATAGGTCGTAACACAACTTGTTCTTCATTTTAATGGAAGGTAATATAAAAAGTGCAAACAGAAAAAAAA